CACCAGTTAAATACTGTGTTTTACCAGTCAGGTAAAGCAGTTCTGTTTTCCCACTTTAGAAGTTTGATGGTAAGTGGTTGGAAACACCACATCTATTTATAGATGGCCTGAGTGCCAAATTTGTTATCACCTTTCCTCAGGCTTGATAAATGAAAGAATGTTGGACTTAACTATTAGTAGTGTCTCCATTAATGAATAGGGGAGTCTGGAGAAAACACGTGAACGGGAAATTCAAGGGCACCTGGTGCTGTTTTTATCAGTCCAGGAATTCTAGACTTGCAATTTGTATCCTGTTCTTTTTCTGGCCATAGAAAGGGCTTTAGTAAAAGGGAACAGAATTAAATACAGTAGAGGAATAAATTTGCAATATAATAAGTGCCAGTCATCTAGGCAATTCTTTGTAATAATTTGTTCACTTCTGTTCTTAGTTTTGTTTAACTTGAAAATTTCAAGCCCTATTTGTGTATGGTAAGAAGGACATATTTTTTTCTTAATTTTAAAGCTAATCTCTAAAAGATACTATTTGATCAAGACTAAGGGTAGAATTTTTGGCCTTTTCTGTAATTGTGTCACTCAAGTAGGGTTTGTTTCCGAGGGTTAACATAACCCTAAATGATTCTATAGTTTATAATACAAAAGAAATTACGATGTGAAGCATGTTATTGAAAATCCATTAAAGTTAAGTTAAATTACATACCATCATTTATTTATAGAATGCCTACTGTGTGTTCAGTACTTTGCCAGATGCTGTAATACATTCATTACAAAGATGAATACATGTAGGACTTGCTCTGATTTGGTTTTTAAACAGGGCATAGACACTCGCATGTATGTGTAACTAGAATGGAAAGAACATAGTGATCATGATTAAATTACAGAGTATCTGGAAGTTGTTTTTATTATCTGATATCCACTTCTGCATTTTGGAGTTGAATTCATTACATCTTCCTATGATGGGAGAAACCTGATCTTCTGTTTACCCCTCTTTTATAAGCTCCTCAGGTTCATAAATTTTTATCTAAAACACCTTCATACTTATTTCTGTATTATGAATGCAAACAATTCCTAGTTGTTTGGAATTGTTTTGAATTCCCTAACTTTTTTTATGTTTCATAAAAATTTCCCCCAAATTTTTGCTCAGTAATACTTCTGCCCACCTCTAGCCCCCCAATATTGTTTCATCGTGGGAAAACCCAGTCAGTAGCATTATATCGGCCATCTCCAGCCACTTTAAAGTGGGCAGAATTGCCTTAGGCTAGATAGTGAGTAGTGTTTTTTGTTTAAGATTTTACCTTATCCGGATGCCATTCAACATTTAAATTCAATAACAGTTCTCTTTGTTCTGATGCCATGCTCACCAAGCCATCTTCTGATCCTCGTCATGGCTTTGCATCTAGTTTGCTGGCGAACAGAATGCATTTGCGGAGGATGCAAAGATCTGTTCCTTGTTACTCAGTTTCTTATTGTGTAAATCAGTCAGTTGCCATTGTGTCTTATATATCAGTCTCCTGTGAACTCTCTTAGGATAAAGTAGCTTCCAGAATTTGATTGCCCTGGGACACTGGCAGCTGAAGGCCAGACCTTGCCCTTTGGCAGACTGAGCAGAGCAGCCTGTTCTAAGAGGCCCCTTGGCAGGCAGTCAACTGCCTTCCAAGACCACACCCTGAGTTCATTATATATCTTTCTTTTTGACTTCTGAAATATTTAGTTATGGGTATTTCTTTGTGCTTTTTTTCAAGAGGCATTATAAAATGTTTTGTTTTCTCACCATAAACTTTTTGAAAGGAAAATACAGACCTTGGACAACTAGAGTTGGCTCTTTTTTCCTCCTAAGAACTGGCAAACCAATTAGAAAATTCTCTGTCAGCTACAGATCTGGACAAATTAGAAAGCACTCTAAAATCCCTAGGCATTGCTCTTTGTTGGAACTTCTATGCCTACAATACCACAAATTGTATGCCTTATTATCTTTTTGAGGATTTAGGGTACATGGTAATATATTAAAGATGCCAGGAAGTCTTGCAATAGAAACTTGTTTAATTTTATATTTTGTATTTATTGTTTTTAAAATAATGTGCATTATTATTAAAGCATTCAGCACATTCAAAAACATTAAATGACGTGCCTAAAATAATGTCTTACATTTGTATAAGCCATTGTGGCTTTGCTGTGTATTATCTCAGATGGCCTTACACTATGCCTGTGAACTAGCCAGAGCAAATATTATAATGCCTGTCTGGGGAAAACTGATGAGTTCAGTGTTCTGGTGATTTGAATAAGACCATATGATCACTTAGCAGCAGGGCCTGGATTAAATCTCTAAATTTCTGAGTCCTAGGTTCAGTAATTTCTTTTTCCACAGTTGCTTATTAACCAATCTTTATTACTTTTAGCCAATTCTTTCAACTCTTCCCCCACCCCCCCATTTGAAAGGTTGAGTCGTTTATTCATTAATGCCTACTATGTGTCAGAGATACAGTGCCATTGTGGTGAATACTAAAAAACGAATCAGGAAAAGTTCTTGCCCACAGGTGCTCTGAGTTTAGTGGGATAGAGAAGTAGAGTGATAAGCACCAATGCCTGAGATATATTGGTGCAAATGCTAGAAAACACACATGAAAGAATGCCAAATGTTATTTCTCTTCTGGTAGGGAATGTTAGAGAAGTCTTCACAGTAAGACTGTGCCTTAAAGAATCAGCAGGATTCCTGTGAAGAGAGTTTAGGACAGGTCCGGGCTGGGTAGCTCAGTTGGTGGAGGGTCGTCCTGATACACCAGGGTTGTGTGGGTTCAATCCTCAGTTAGGGCACATACAAGGATCAACCACTGAATGCATAAATAAGTGGGACAACAAATCGATGTTTCTCTCTCCTTCTTTCTCCCCCTTCCTCTTTCTCTCTCTCTCTCTCTAAAAGAAAAGGAAAGAAGGAAAAAAAGAAAGGAAGGAGAGGGAGAGGGAAGGAAGGAGAGAGAGAAGGAAGGAAGGGAGGGAGGGAGGAAGGAAGGGAGGAAAAGGAGGGAGGGAGGGAGAGAGAGGAGAGAGAGAGAGAAAGAAAGAAAAAGAAGAAAAGAAAGGAAAGAAAGAAAGAAAAAATGGGAAGGAAAGAAAGAGAGAGAGTGTGTTCAGGACCTAACTGATCCAGGGATGGCTCATGGGAGGCCTTGGAGGCATGAAAGAGCCAGTTACGTTGGGAGAAGACTAAGCAGTGAGGAAGGGCAGCAGCTAAGGCTGGAATGGCAAGCTGGAGAGAGCATTTGGAGTTGGGGTCCAGACTCCATAGCTCACTAGCTATGTAACTTTTCTAAGCTTCTGTTTCTTACTTTACACGGCTGTTGTGAAAATGAAATGTAGTCGTGCACTATCTTAAATCCTCAGGAGAAAAAAGGGAAATTAAGTGAATAAAATATCATGAAATTCCTGATATATACCAGCATTCAGTGTGTGTGAGTTGTCTTCATCATGCTAAGCTAATTCGATTTGCTGTAGGCAGTGAGGAGACAATGAGCGATTTTAAACAAATAATGTGATCAGCTTCTTGTTATAAAAAAATTTATAGTAGTCAGTGGAAGAACAAGTTTATGATACTAAAATAATAGATTGTGTTTTAGACATGAGGATTTGAGAGCTCCTGCAATACTTTGTGGTATAAACCCAATAAGATGCCAGTGGAACTGGAAATTGTTTACTTTCATTCTATTGAAGCACTTGACATTGAAGCACAGGAAAGACTTTTGGCTCATTCCATTATCCCTGGATTCTATTCCAGTTCAGGTCCATATACAGGGGTCTGTATCTTTGTGTAGTTAAGGAGAGGTGGGTGTTGGGGAGTAGTGGCAGGTTTGGCGGAGTACCTTTCAGCTAATAGTTCAATGTTGGATGCTCACTCTTGGCAGTCTGGATCTTCTCTAGGTTGGTCTGTTATGATCCCCATCCAGATAAGCAAAAATCTCTTTAACATATGGAAACATTCTCATTTTTTGGTCCAGATATAGACTGTGGTAGGCAAATCTCTTCTGGTCAGTATCCACCAAAGCAGCCACCAGAGTTCAATCTTTCCCCCAATGAAGCAGCCTTTTCGTTACATTCCTTGTCTTGTCCAGTTGTCCAGATTGTCTTCTTCACACCAGTACTTTGTTTGGCTGTCCCAGTGATTTTTCAAAGTTGGCACTTAAATGGCATTAAGTAGACAGACACAAAACTTTACCTGTTGTCACCTGGCTTGGTTCACACATTTGTGTTTCCTTCCTGGTTCCTACAGGCATTTGAGTGTCATTTGAAAATGAAATGGACCTCAGGAGGAAAAAAGGGACACCTGTAACATTTTAAATAAAAATAAAATTTAAAAAAAGAAATGGACCTCAAAGTTTGGAGAAGTATACTAAACCTTGTTATAGTACTATCTGAAATGACAGAATTCAGAATGAAATAGGGCAACCATGGCTTCCATCAAAGGGGCATCTTTCTCAAAATATTTCCCCCTGAAACATATACCCATAAGAATTGCGTTAGACTGATATTCGTGTGCTTATTGATACACTTCATGTTTCATAAAATTTATATGGCTGAAGCTATTTCTTACTATTTAATTAAACTACATTAACTCTTAAGAGACTTACATTTATTGAGGATATAAGTATTAGCAAAATCTTGTGGGTTTTATTTAGTAATCAATAAAACAAGAAAATAAATTGAACCTTTCTTGTTTGAATGCTAGGTGAGTATAACCTTTTGTATATAAATGTATTTATATTGCGTGTGGACTCCCAATGGTGCTTCTTTACCTCAGCCCTGGTTTTGCCAGCACAAAATTAATTTCTGTTGCTTTGGGAATGATGCATCTTTCTTTTACTAGCATTGTATTATTTATAATGTGAAAGATTTGCATATCTTAACAGTTAGGGTTGAATTTTGCTTAGGAGAAATCAAACCATTTCTAGAGTTCGTTATAAGGGATAAAAAGTTTTTTCTACTGAATAATTTGTGTTTATATGTTATTTCAGTTTCTGTTACTATGGCAATGACGGCAGGGACTACAGCCACCTTTCCAATGAGCAACCATACCCGGGAAAGAGTAACTGTGGCCAAGCTCACGTTGGAGAATTTTTACAGCAACCTAATTTTACAACATGAAGAGAGAGAAACCAGGTATAGTAACAGCTAGTCAAAATTTTCTGTTTAATTAAATAAGCTGCAAGCAGAGTATAAATATGTTGCCCATTAATAATATAAATATTGTAGATCCCTCTGTGTTGTTTTTAGGTTTCTTGTCCCGACAATGGACCTAGTTACTTGTTTTATTTTTGCAGAATAGTTTCTTTTCCTGTGCACCCATAGACTTATTTCAAATGACATATTTTAAACAAAATGTTTCCAACCATGAAATTATGATACAGCTTTTTACTTTCTTTTAGAAGGATGCATTATGAATAATTGACTGTAATCCAAAAACATTTATAGTGTGTGTGTGTGTGTGTGTGTGTGTGTAAGTGGGAATGGAAGAATAAAAAATGAAAGACTTGGTGTTTTGCCTTCAGGAAAGTTATAGTAAGGGAGATAATGCGCATAAATACTACATGAAAGAGTGTAAAGTATCACTAAGAGAAGGGCAAAGAGAGAGAGATTGCTTTTGCCTAGGGCAATGGGGAGGGCTTCATAAATGGTGGTGGCTTTAAACAGGGCTCTAAAGAAAGAGTCCTATTTATACTTCACAAATGGGAGAAGAAAGAAATAAAAGAGCTGGAGGAAGGACTTTAGAGGCAGAAGAAATCACCTTCAGTGCTAAGTCAGGCATTGTTGAGTTAGCTCAAGCTAGATGTCAGCATTTCCTGGGAGCCTGGGATGCTTTGTTAGTGTAGCCGTTCTCATGGTAGTAGAGGGCCTCCATGAGTTTTGAGCACAAGAATCAAATGATTGCAGGTGTTTCTCTAGAAGAGTACTTTAATTGTGATGTATAGAATGGACTGTGGGAGGAGGGATTAGAAACAGGAAAGGCTAGTGATGTAGTCCAGGCAAATAGAAAGGAGGCTTGAATTAGGATTGTGACAGCAACAATAGAGAAGAATTGACGGGTGAGAAAGATAAAATAAAACATGGAAAGTAGCCAAATATGAAAAGTGAGAGAAACAAGTCAATACTGGCTCTGAAATGTCATGCCTGGGCAAACAGAGTGGTGCAACTTGAGTGAAACAGGACCTGAGAAGAAGAATCAGGTTTTGAATTTAATTTTGGACAGGTCTCACTGCAGATGAGACATAGCTGAGGAGAGAATTAGAACTAAAAAATAAAACAGTTATTTAGAAGTCCATGTAGTGAGACAGAATAAGAAAATACTCGAATTAAGAAACAGAAAGACTAGTGAGAAAAGCTAGCGTGCCTTTAATCAGAGTTGCTAAAGGAAGAGAGGAAAGAGAACGGTGCAGACGCAGGTTAAACAAAGTTCATCGGCTGAAAAAACTCCGAGACTCCGCTCAGGCAGAAGGAAAGTGATCACAAGCAGGAGGTTTAAAGTAAATAGGTGGATCTGTCCCAACAAAAATCTACTGTATAAAACAACAACAACAATGATAATGTCTTAAGCAGTTAAAAAAATAGGATTAAAGTGCTTTCTAACAGTTGACTGTCAATCAGGAGAGGGAAATGGTATTAAAGTGCTCTTAGATGTCTTTGTATCTCTAAGAACAGGGATACAGCGTAGACGCGGTCAAGACTAATTTCAGACTTTGACAGTTTAAGTGTATGTGTAATTTCTAGGGTAGCCACTAAAGAATAAGAATAAAGTCTGTAACTTCTAAGCCTGCAGAAGGAAAATAATGGAGCGAGGGGGAAATCAGTTCAAAAGAAGGCAAGAGAAAATGAAAAACTGAAATACCAAGTAGTAGGCACAGACAGAAATCACAAAATAAGTTAGAAGTAAACCCAACTGTAGAAGTAGTTACACTATTTGTAAATGTAATGGAAGTCTCTGGAGGTGATCCATGGTGGAGAGAGGGAACGGCGTAGAAGAGACCCGCAGAAGGTCCTCTGTCTCCCAGGAGGCGGGCACTGAGTTACTCCTCAGAATTTTAAAGGGTCCTTGTCGTTTTCTGCCAAAACCTTCAAGTAGTTCAGTTTCCCCTCTATTTCCAAACAAAGGAGAGTAAGAATAAAAGTATCTGCTGTTATTAAAAAAAAACAAAAAGCAGTCTCAGTTTGGTGGTGTCATGGAAGTCATATTAAACAGTTTATACTATACTCTGAACAGTATATGATTGTCTAACCGCTATGCTGTACACCTGAAACTAATACAAAATATTGAGTGTAAACTGTAATTGAAAAAATTAGAAAATTATTGTTTATTAAAATAATAATAATACACAGTAAAAACAGTTTATACTTTAAGAAAACATGGGGCAAATTTTTGAGCTTAACTAATTGGATAAACACGTAAGCCAAATAAAGTACCTACCAATGAACAAAATGTCAGCATTTTATGAGGAAAACTTTTTTAAATAATTTCTTTTTAAATATGTCTTTATTGCTTCCAGAGAAAGGAAGGGAGAGGGAGAGAGAGATAGAAACATCAATGATGAGAGAGTCATTGATCGGCTGCCTCCTGCACGCCCCCTGCTAGGGATCGAGCCTGAAACCCGGGCATGTGCCATTACCGGGAATCAAATTGCGATCTTCTGGATCATAGGTTGATGCTAACTGTTGATCTACACCAGCCAAGCGGAAAACTGTTTTTTAAAAAGGTACAAGAGAAGTCATAGCTGTTCCCATCTAGTCATGGCGCAAAGGAAGGAACATTACTGCCTCTCTCCCCTGAATGAGAGATGATTTCATGAAGTGTTAGTCTTGGCAAGGAAAGGGTGCAGTAGAGATTTGAGAAGAATAGAGTTCCTTGTATGTGGCTGTCCCTCCTAGATTAATGTTCCTCTTACTCTTTGGATTCTCTCTGCAGCGGAGAAAACTCAAAATCATTCAGCATGCAGCTCTGCAGGCCCAGAGGCGCATGATGGCAGGGGCAGAATCCGATGTCAGGCCCTTATTTCATTCTCAGGTTGGGTTTAGGGGAATAATCTGTGAACAAAAGATAAAAGTCAGTGTGGTAGGCACCAGTGCTGAGGAAGTGGGTGAAGAAGATGTTATTAGGTCTCATCTCCACTTGGGTGCTGATTTATACACAGGCTCTATATATTTTGGCTAGGAATTTTCCTTAAGAAATAAAAAGAAGTGATCTTGATGGATTAGGAAAGAACTTACCTTTGGACCCACTATTATAACTAACAAATACCAAATGATGTGCATGATAGACTCAATCCTCAACCCCTGTACTCCTGTGCATAAATCCTGGAAAGTTCCTCTTACTCTAGCATACTCCAAAATGAATTAGGAAGAGCTCTCTCCAGCTTATCTTTAGGAAGAGCCAATACAATAGAAATAAAATACTTAATATTCAGTTGGACATGAGTTACAAAATTCCTACCACAGTCATATCTCTAGTTACTAGTTCATGTATCCTATCCCTCTACCATCCTCCCCATGCCCACAATGCTTAGCCTAACTAACTTTAGGGTGCCATTTAAAAATAATGAATAACTGAACTTGGCTATATACTGTATTTGAAAAGTAAATGTTTTGATAGTTAATGGGTTACTTTTAAAATACATAGATGACTTTCAAATTTATAAAGAATTATAATAGAATAAAATATATTCAATTACATCAAACACCTTTCCTTGATTAATTAGGAAATCAAGCTTAGACTTTAAGTGAAGGATATAGACAAGCTCGTTTAGCTAAAAGGTGTTAGAATCAAGATTTAAATAGATATCCACCTTAAAAATGTATACTTCTAGTCACTATAGTTACCTTTGTATACATCTAATATAAATATTGATATATGTTAACAATTTTAGTGGTTTGAACATTAGATAACAGTTTTCCTTCTTAGAACATTAGTCACCTTTGCTAACAATTCATTTAGGCAACTTTAGAAGTAAATTTTATTTGCCAAGTATGAGAAGGCTAAATCTGAATTGGGTTTATTTTTGAGAAAGAAAACTATACTAGGGACTATTTTGATTCAACTTGAAATATTTTTTTATCATATCAAATTGAAGTGGTAATAAATAAATATACATTTTAAAGATGAGATTAGTTAGAAATGTATTTAAAATCTAAATTATTTTTTCTTTTGTTAAGGCAGAAGAAATTAGAAGTGGCCATGGAAGAAGAAGGATTAGCAGATGAGGAGGTAATGTGAGCTATAATTACTGTGACTGTAGTTAACAATGCTGTATTATGTGCATGACAGTTGCTAAGAGTAGATCTTAAATGTTCTCACTACAAAAAGTCGTAGTTATATGAGGCGATAGATATATTAACTAACCTTATTGTGGTACTCATTTTCCAATATATATGTGGATCAAATAATGATTTATACCAAAGGTGATTACTTCGTTAATCAGTTGACTCAATCTAGAAAACTAAAATTTTACTATAATAATATTTTAAAACTAATTTTATTTATGTTATTTAAGTTTTAAGTGAGAAAGGTAATGGTTTAGATCTATATTTCAATCTATAGAGAAAAAATAAGACTAAGCACATCTTTCTTCATTTTTATTCATTAGTATTAATAACCTTATCATTAATAATCTTAGATTAATATACATTATACATCGTTATATTGATATAGAAATCTTATGCATAAGATCTTAATTTGAAATCTGGAGGGGGAAATTACAAAAACAGATGCCCAAGGCCAAGCAAATAACATAAATGAGAGAAGTTGGCCAGGTTGGTTTTATAATGTCATCTTAGGTTGTTATTTTGATGTAACATACTTTGTTTGCATAGTCAATTCATAAGAATCTTTTTCACTTCCAAAAGAAATAAATTTTTTTCCTTTTTCTAAAATGGTTGATCCTCACAGTTTATCTTTTGATAAAGTCATACTACGTTTCACTTTACTGAAAAAACAATAACAAGAATACCAGCCCACTTATACACATCACCTGGGGACTAGCATGGGTGGTGGAGACTGACAAATTATTATTGTTAGGCCCCAGGCAAGGTCCTAGATTATGTCAAATTCTATAAAATAGATGTATTTTCTCAACCTAATATAAACTATGTTGGAGCTGTCTTTACGTGGAATGGGTTTTTCCAAAATAAAATAGTTGTATTAAAATAATGCTAGTTTTTTTTTAAAATATATCTTTATTGATTTCAGAGAGAGGAAAGGAGAGGGAGAGAGAGAGATGGAAACATCAAAGGTGAGAGAGTCATTGATTGGCTGCCTCCTGCACGCCCCTGACTGGGGATCGAGCCCACAACCCAGGCATGTGCCCTGACCGGGAATCGAACCTCGGTTGCCTGGATCCTAGGTCGATGCTCAACCGCTGAGCCACGCCCTGCCCGGCAAGGCTAGTTTTTAATGAAAGCTAATATTCATCCTTAACTCATTCTGTAGTAGAAAAGTATTTGTGAAATAATTTGTGAAAGTTACTTGTGAAAATGAAACTATGTAATGTAGCCATGAAAAGCATATATCCTGAGGTGAAGCTGCTAGCTGAACCCTTTTATATCCCACAGCTTCTGTGTACACTGTTTTATACAAAATCTGAGCACCCGGCAGATTGAGCGTTTGAGGAACACCCATTTAAGAAGGAATGGTGAAAGGAAGAAAGTGATGGATTTCTAGCAAATCCCATTAAACATGGGATATTATTTACTCTCATGGAAAACAAAATAGGCAACTTTAAGCTGCAGAAGACAGCTATGAAATGTTAACCTTGTACACAGGTTTTTGATGTCTTCTTTGTAGAGGAAAGATGTGATTACCACAAAATGTTATTTGTTTTTTCAAGGCAATGTAATCTACACAAGTTGTGAGCAATATGTCAACATGCTTTTTTCCGTCAATTTTTTAAAAATGCTAACTTTCTTCAGCTACCTATGGACTACAACATGGACTTTAAGATTTAAGACTAATATGGAATAGATTTTTTTTTTTTAAGTAATGCAACAATGTTATAGGTGATATCCTATTTTTGTAAGATTATATTTTCCATACACTTGGGATTCTCCTTTTTTTGCCATTAAATTGCTGTCTCCAACACAAAAACATTGTTTACTTGCTTCATTACACAACCTGTCAAATATTAATAAACATTTTCTCTAGCTGCTTTTCTCTTGTCTATCAGTTTTGAGCTTAATTTATGAAACTGTGTAATAAGGTCATCTTTTCCATTCAGATTACACAAGCTCCTGAAACTACATCCCACTGTACTCTGTTTACTCTGTTTATAGCTTATAACATCAGAAATCCAGAATGTCTTTCAAAATTCTTAAGTTTATTCATTTACGTAATTAAAAGGGGGGGGGGGTGTCTTTACTGTTTTGAAAGACAGTACTACAGTGCCACCATGTGGCCTTTTAAATTTAGTCTTAAAGTCTAAAACTGCTTTTTTGATCTTTTGTTTTACTAGTAATTCAGTTTTTTAAACTGTTATTCAAAAGGCATTTTTGAACAAAAATATAATCTTCACTGTTTCCACCACTGATGTGCCTGAATATGTAACTTCATTTAGCTGTTTAAAGATGTTTACATTGAAGACATAATTTCATAATTTATCCTCTTAGATTAACTTTGTTAGAGGTATCAGAATTCCATTTCATTGATGATACAGTTACATATTTCTGATTAATAGTTTACCTTACCCTTTTGAAAACATATACAGAGGGGTAGGGAAGGACTATTTAGTAGCTATACCTTGAGCTGCATGTAGAAGCGATGTTTCTGAGCTGCGATGGTCCTTTTGCCTTGTCTCCTCAGAACTGAACCACTGAACGCTTGATAGGGTTCAGTTGAAGATGAACGGGAGTTTAATTTTTCACTGTTTTTTATTTTTTTTATTTCCCGCTTTATGTTACCTCTACTAGGAGCTATGTCAAAAAACAGAATTTTGTTTGGTGAGGGGAAAAATGAAATATAGAACAGTGAAACAAATGCCCATTCCAAATGTAGGTATTTCATGTTTATTATTAATGCTAGTTATTTTTTGTGACCTCTGGAGAATGAGTTATGAAATTCCTGACTTGAATATTTTAATGAATTCTTCATGTAATTATCTTTGTTGCAATTCTGTATTTTCAGGAATTTGTGTGCCAAGTCTCAAGCAGTTTATTAAAATCTGTCCAAGAATAAATTCTACCATAAGTAAATCTTCATAGAAACATTGTTGTTGTGTTATTTTGGTGTCATAAGTCTCAGTAGTTGTGACAGAGCAACCTTGGGATTTAGCTAATTGAAGCAAAGTAGATTTCTTGACAGAGTAAAAAATCAATATCAGAATACTGTTAGCATTTCCTAAAGTTTAATTTTTATTTTTGAATTAAGTTAGCATAAAGATGAAAGAATATCATAATTAGTTAAGATTTAATGGAATACTAATATTTCATGGAGTACACTTCAAGAATAAAGATTTATCAATTGTTAAAAAAAAAGTTTCCTCTAGATTGTTTTATTCTTTCCATGCTTAATAAATATTTCACTTTGGTAAATAAGTAATAGCACCAGTATATAATGTGTAAAATACTTCACTCCCATTTTTATATGTCTCATCTTTTAATACTATCGGTTTCCTTTGAAACAATCTGATTTTAAAGTCATCTTTTTAAACTGTCTTTTTTTTAATAGAAAAAGTTACGCCGATCACAACATGCTCGCAAGGAAACAGAGTTCTTACGGCTCAAGAGGACCAGACTTGGCTTAGATGACTTTGAGTCTCTGAAAGTCATAGGAAGAGGAGCGTTTGGAGAGGTGTGGCTCTTTTCAAAAGTCACTGCTATTGAATACATATCTTAAGATAGAGTAAAATAGTTTAATATGTATGAAAATAGTTTAATTTGACTAGAATTCCTAAAATACCATGAATGACAAATTGCAACACTGTTTTCTTTAAAGAACCTACCTTTTGCTCCTAAATAAATAGTAGTGACTGTTTAACATTTTATAATGTGGCCAAGTTTTACATTCTAGGTGCGGCTGGTCCAGAAGAAAGATACAGGCCATATCTATGCAATGAAGATACTGAGAAAAGCTGATATGCTTGAAAAAGAGCAGGTATGTTCTTTAACACATGCAGCCAAAGGAACATCCACTGACTGGTAGTAGAATAAGTGCTGATGTTAGAATTTTAAAAATCTACACATCTTACTACATAATCTATTAATTTTTTGATAACCTATTTCATTTTCTCAATTCTTAATAGTTAAAATTTCTTCTAAATTTGTAATCTAAATATGTATTATTCTGTTCATAACAAAACACCACACACCGGGTAACTTAAACAACAGAAATTTATTTTCTTACAGTTCTGGAGGGCGGAAGCCTAAAATCAAGGTTCTGGCAGGGTTTGTTTTCTGGTGAGGGCTCTCTTCCTGGCTTGCAGGCAGCTGCTGTCTCATCAAGGCCCCACATAGCCTTTCCTAGGTGCGTGCACAGAGAGAGTGTGAGCTCTCTGGTGTCTCTTATAAGGATACCAATCCTCCCCCTGTCCCCCATGACCTCACTTAACTGTAATTACCTCCTTTGAGGCCCCATCTCCAAATTCAGTTATACTAGGGGTTTGGGCATTATCATGGGATTTGGGGAGGAACACAAAATAACCTCCTCTGACTTCAGTGAAAATAAAGGATAGTTCTCAGTACCCTCACTCCGTTTCACATATTGAAAAGGTAAGACCAATCTCCTGAGAATTTGCTGAGTTTATGTATTTCTAAAATCTGTACTCACTCCATTTCATACTGCTGGCTCTCTTCATGTTTCCTGTGACTTAATGTGGTTTAAGTGGTAGCCATAAATTTGAAAACATCAGTAGTAGTATTTTATGTATTTACCTGCATTTCTAGTCTGGGTAGACACTCTGTAGAACCCTGTATTGAGTACATATGCTAGAGAAGGGCTCACAATAGGGGTAGAGGGGGGATGGCGCCTCTCTGAACCTAATGCTTTATTTCAGTCTTTTAGTGCCCACCTGAAACTTACTTTGTTGTTGTTACAGCAATATAATATTAATTTTTATTTAACTATTAGTTTTTATTTAACTATGGCCCACTTGGATTTTCACTGCATTCTTTCACTGCATTTCTGTTTCTTTCATCCAACAAGTATTCGCATGTTCCAGGTTCTGGGACTACAGTGGTTCACAGGAAAAACCTGACCCTTGTTCTTTTATAGCAGTGGGGAAAATAGGCAGCCAGCTATTTCACACAGTCACAATTGATAAGTCTTATGGAGAATATTCTTACAAAAGGATAAAGTGATGCAGGTGCTCTGGGCTTAGGAGAAAGCACTGGCTCAAGGAAGGTTTCTCGGAGGAGGGAATATTTGATGAGAGACAGTATGAGAAAGAATGACATATAAAGATCTGGCAGAACAAATATCCAGGTAGCAGATGCAGAGTCCCTGAGGCACGAATAATCCTGGCCTGCTCAAAGAAGAGAAGGAATCCCCATGGCTAGATTGAAGGGAGGGGAAAAGTGGTTAGAAATGAAGGGGGAGAGGTAGGCAGGGACCAGACTGTGTGGGGCTTTGAAGACCAAGATACAGAGGTTGGGTTTTATTCTGAATGCACTGGGAAGGCACTGTTTTTGTTCAAATGGGAATGATATATCTGATTGATGTTTTATAAAGATGAATCAGTTTGTTTGCTTGTTGATAGGAGAAACAAGAATTGCAGCACGGAGACCAATTGAGGGACTGTAGCAGTTCCAGGCAGGATATGACTGTGGCACATACTAGGGTTGTCACAGTGAAACTGAAAAAAAGTCAGATTAAGTAGTTTCAGTGAAAGAGCCAGTAGATTTTTTGTGATGTACCCATGTTGAGGGATGAGAGGAAGGGCAGGGGTAGTGGGGGAAAGAGGGGAGAATCAAGGATGATGCCTAGCATTTTACTCAGGAATGGGGTGCATCATGATGTCATTTTCTGATTTAGAAAAGACCGAGGAAGGAACAGGTTTGGAGACAGTGGGAATCAAGAGTTCTCTTAAGTGTGAGCTGCCTGTTAGATGTCCAAGTACAGATATTAAGTTGGATAAAATATGGGGAGAAGTTTGACTAGAATTATAAATTGGAAGTCATCAATATATTGATAATATTTAAAGTTATAGAACAAGATGAAATTGCTAAGGAAACAAATAGAGACAGACAAGAAAAGAGGACCTGGATCCAAGCCCTAGGCAACACTAGGCAGAGGGGAAACCAGCAAAGGAGACCAAGAGAGAACATCTACTCAGATAGTGGGGACCTAGGAGAACATAATGTTATGGAAGCCAAGAGAAGAAAGTGTTGAAAGGAGGAGGTGACAGATCAACTATGTCGACTGCTGCTACGAGAGAGAAAGCAAGAGGAAGACAGGCCACCGGATGTCACAATATGGAGATCTTGAACAACTCGGCAAGGACAAATCCCATGTACTAGAGGGCAGAAGCCTAATTGGATTGGCAGAAAAGAAAATGCGAAGGGAGAAGAGATAGAGTGTATAGATAAACCTTTCATGTGAAGCAGAGCAAAGAATAGATTGGTAAAGTGAGATTTAAGATCAAAAGGAGGGCTTGGGGGTTTTATATTGTTGTGGTTGCTGTTTTACAGGAAATGTTTCATGCTGATTGGGAGAACCCATTAGGAAGAGAAAAGTTGACCATGCAGGAGAGAGAAGGCAGATAATCACAGGAGTACACTGGAAGTAGGAGTTGATCTTTGATAGTAGAGACCTATTAGTTAAAATCAGTAAGGAAAAGCAGAGAAAATTAGAGCAAATGCAGGGTGGTTGATCTGAGAGTGTAAAGTGCCAGTTTCCTGCCTGAGTGCAAATAAGTGAAGTCATCAGCTTGGATAAGGAGGAAGATAGCTTGTTGGAAGTGTAAGGCGAGGGAAGTTGTGAGATAGTCACAGCTGTTGACTTGAAGTGTGGGAAAGCAGCCATGCTAGGGAAGTATAGCTGAAGGCCCACCCAGACTGGCAATCATGAAGGTAAAGTGAAACCAATGGTATAATTAGGTGATTTTTCTCTAGTAACACTTAGTTGCTCTGGGGCAGAATAGACACGATAGATAGAAATTTGGGGTTAACTAGGGTTAGGGTTTGGCCAGGCCAATACAATGAAGGGCAAGGACAAAGGAATTCTGGGCGTTTGCCCAAGAGTGGTCATGATGATGGCACCCAGGCTGGGGGAGAAAGAAATGAGGTTATAGGAGCGTAAGGGGTGGAGGAAAGGTGGTGGGGTCCATGGGATGCAGATGGAAGTTGGAGAATCAGAGGCCTGCAAGGTGAAGGTCAGAAACAGAGTTCCTTAAAGTTGAGATTTTAGAGGGGCTACTGTCGTTGGTGATGAGGAGATTACCACGGGTGGCTGAGGTGTAGAAAAGGAAAAGGCCATTGGAGGTAAGGAAGCCAAGGCACTGTGCAGATAGGGCAGTTGATGGCTCATCATCTCGGAAGGTGCTGAGCCACGAGCTCGAGTCCCGAATGGCAAGGGGGACTGCTCAGGACTGTCCAAAGGAGAGCTATGCTGAAGGATGGCGGTGGGGACTGCCCAGGAGTCTACAAAGGAGAGCTATGCAGAAGGATGGTGGGGGGGACTGCCCAGGAGTCTGTAAAGGAGAGCTATGCAGAAGGATGGCGGTGGGGACTGCCCAGGAGTCTACAAAGGAGAGCTATGCAGAAGGATGGCGGGGGGAGATTGCCCAGGAATTGATAAAGGAAAGCTGTGCAGAAGGATGGCGGGGGTGGCCTCGCAGCATGTGCTGCATGGGAACTGGAGAGAAGGAAGTGTCACAGTGGTTCAGAAGCAGTCATGAGAATGGACAGGAAACCTACCCCCTCACCAAGCAACATGTGAGAAGAAGGCGGGCCATTCTTGAGAACACTCTGCAGGAAGACAGAACTCAGTGGAAGGATAGCCTGGTTTCAGTTAGGATGAGAAGGTGAGAAGGGATTTTGTTGAAGATGGCCTGATTACAGATGGTTTGGAAGGCAAGGAAGGTCGAGATATTGAGTTATATTAGAGAATTATAGGTAATGATGGGAGTGTCTGGGTCAAGCTGTAGAGCTTTAGAGACAAGGAGATAAACAGAAATTGAACAAAGCCGTATTATAGTTAGTCCTGGGTAAGGTTTTAAGGACAAAAAGTAGCCTTTAGTTACTAGCTACATGTGGCTACTGGACACTTACATGTAGCTAGTCTGAACTGAGATGTGCTGTAAATGGAAAATACACACCAACTTTTGGAAAGTTGGTATGAACAAAGAGTATAAAATATTTCAATAATTTTATGTTGATTACACTGAAATGAAAACACTTTGGATATATGAAGTTATTAAACTATATTATTAAAAAGTTTCACCTGTTTGTTTTTACTTGTTATGTGACTACTAGAAAATTTAAAATTACATATGTGACTGGCATTATATTTCTATTGGACAGATCTGGTATAGAATATTTTGCTAGAAGTTGAAGAGCTTCTGACCAATGTTTGTTCCTATGCAGGGGCAATTTCAGTGGAACCCAACATTAAGTCTAATTTTGCCCTTTGGGCCTATTTTCCTCCTACATAAATTAATCTGCATTTGTTACTATTGAATTTCATTTTAGAAAACCTTTTCCCACTCAATTCTAATACGTCATTATTGTAAGTTTTTATCATGTTTACTTTAATGCTAATTACCCCACAAAATTAAGTGGCAACTTCTGTCTTTACTATTGTGGTACCAAATTACTGTGCATAGTACTTTCTATCCTTTGGAAATATAGGCCCGTTTTGAAAACATTTTCTGTAATCTGGCTTTAAGACATTTAAAAATAATCAAGACAGGCCAGCCGGCGTGGCTCAGTGGTTAAGCATCGACCTATGTTCCAGGAGATTGAGGTTTGATTCCTGGTCGGGGCACATGCCTGGGTTGTGGGCTCAATCCCCAGTTGGGGGGTGTGCAGGAGGCAGCCGAACAGTGACCCGCTCATTATTGATGTTTCTATCTCTCTCTCTCTCCCTCTCCCTTCCTCTTTCTGAAATCAATAAAGATATATTTTTTTAAATAAATAAAAATAAGCAAGACAAGTTTAAGATGTAATTGTTTTTCCTGACAATACCAGGTACAACACCAAAAGTTTAAGGCTTTTCCTTTACCATCTTAGAATGCTTTGTAAAAGACAATAGATAAGAATTTTGAAACAGATCCAGAGATTATAAAGTTCTTTGATGTCAGAAAAAATTTCTTAATTTTCAACTTTTATTCTTGTGCTTTGATCTCAGAGCATTTACTATACTGTATAATACAATAATCTCAAATATATTTTAAGCAAATCATATTTTCTAATCATGAAAAGGTTTACAAAATCTGTGTTCTCATATGCTGTGGGGTGCACCAGAATTCATATTGGTGCACAATGAAAACAGCAAAAGCATAAAATCAAAATCTTATTGTTGATTAGTCTCTCAAGAAAGAATGTATAAATATATCAATGCAAAAACATCTGAAAACTGATTATATGAATTCCACAAATTACTCAGTTTATAAAATATTTCAGCCTATTAAATGGATCCCTAGTAATTGTGTATCTGACAAGTCAGTAGCAGAACCCCCCAAAATTGCATTAATTTGCTATAGATCATGTTTATAGATGTTATAGAGGTTTTATGTTATAACAAAATAATATAAAGTTGCTATAAATGTTTCTACTTAAAAAAATAATGAAATGGTTAAAGACCAAGTCAGGCCCTTTGTTTGACTAACAGTTAAAAATAGTTTGCTAAGGACCCTGACTTTGTCATACCGTTTTATAGGGCATTGCTTACTGCTTTTAATTTTTAAAAGTCAGACTAGGGCCCTAAATTTCTAAGACAAAGCCAGGATCCTTGCCTAGGTGGAGAATCTGGTCAGAAAGGTTTTAGACTATTCATTTTTTTTACCACAAAGGCCTCAGCTTCTCCTAATATACCTGTGGATCCCACCTTTTTAGACCTAAAGATATAAGTTAAAATAAACTATTTCCTGAGGTTCTCCATATGTAATGAGAATATGAACATGCAAATGTGTTTCAAATCTTTTCTAAAACTCCAGCTTTCCTTCGTGACTTCTAAGGAACTGGATGGATAATTGTAAGAGGTAAGCTTGAAAAATGTTCCATGTGTTACAATTATTTTTTCAAAATACATTCATCTAGGTGGCTCATATTCGAGCAGAAAGAGATATTTTGGTAGAAGCAGATGGTGCCTGGGTGGTGAAGATGTTTTACAGTTTTCAAGATAAGAGGAACCTTTATCTAATCATGGAATTTCTCCCTGGAGGTAAAAGCAAAAGTAACAGCAATGACAGACTGACACAAGCAAATCACTATATGTAATTTTAAATTGATTAGGTTTACTTTTGTATTCCTGGCTCTGAGGTTTCACGTAGTCAGTCATGGTTTTCCAATAGTTCCTCCCATAATAGTGCTAATTTTGACCACATTTTGAAGGAAGAACAATAAGTCACTAAAAAACCCATGGTCAAATGATGGTGCACTGAGGAGAACTCTGGCTAGTCTATAAATATGTAGGAAAATGTTCAACTTCATCTATGATCAGGGAAATGCAAATTAAAACGAGAATGAGATACCATACCATTCACACTCATCTGATTAGTAGAAACATTAGGAGTCAGATGAGGCTGTGGGGAAACTGGCCTCTCACATATGTAAATTAATCTAATCCTTATGGAGAGCAATTCATCCATAGCAGTAAAAATGGAACATGCAGGTGTCCCACAGTCCCACAATTCCACAACCAGTTGTATTCCCTAGGGATTGTCCCCTGGCCCATGTAGAAGAGACCTGTAAAAGCATGCTCATTGCAGCATTGTCATAATAGTGAAAACTGGATGCAAGATAAATGTCCACCCATAGAAGAATGGACAAATAAAATGTGGCACAGTTATGTGATGAAATATTTTACAGTAGTTAAAAGTCAGGAGCTATATCTGTTGCCATAGTAATATCTCAGGAACAGAGTGGAGTAATAAAGCAAGCTGTGTGATTACATGTACAGTTGATATCATTTGTGTAATTTTTAAAAACCTACAAAAGACTATAAATCTATAGATTAATATGTAAGTATTTGAAAACATTTTAAAAATAAGTTGGAAGAATACACATCAAACCAAATTCATGATAATTGTTACTCAGCAAAAAGGGAAAGTGGAATAGAATGGGAATGGAGGGCAAAGAATACTTCCATGTTATTATTTTTTAATCTTGAAGCATCATGAAAATATATTAACAGTTGTCAATTTCGAGTTGTAAGTTCACCACTGTTTGTTCTTTGCCTCCTTTTAAAGAAAAAAATTCCTTGAAAACAAAAGAATGTCTGGAGGTGAGTCTTTTAGTGGAATGACTAGCCCAAAGAGCTCTGAGTATTTTTGAAACTTGAATTTGAAAGAATATATCCCATTTCCAGGTGTGCTTATTGATTCATTTTCCAGTTTGACATGTTTTTCTCAGCAACGTATTCTGGATGTTGAGTGGTGGATATTACTTCATTATTAGCTCTGCTTTGATTTGATTTCACGTACTTTCTTTCTTAAACCCATTAAAATGTCATAAACTTTTGCTTATGCAATGACACTTTTTTATTTGGCCTTAGGGATGGTTGGAGGTATACTGGGTAGATCATAAAATGCAAAAATCAGGTATACATTGTGTAGTGCAAAGAAAGCATTTGCAAGGTATTCCCCTTTTGAGGCATTTCCAATACATGATACTTACTCTATTTTTCCTTCATAGGTGACATGATGACATTGCTAATGAAGAAAGATACCTTGACAGAAGAGGAAACACAGTTCTATATTTCAGAGACTGTTCTGGCTATAGATGCGATCCACCAGTTGGGTTTTATCCATCGGGATATTAAACCAGACAACCTTTTGTTGGATGCCAAGGTATGTGAGTAAACTGGTGAATTATTAGGTTGCTAATTATTTTATGGAGTAGTAGAGCTGATTTTGTGATTGGAAATGGACAGCTGCAATTTATGTTATTGCTAAACTACCCTATTTCATAGAATGATGCAATCATTATCAGATATTTACAATATTACATTTCATTTGTATGAATTCTAAGCTAAGAATTTTTTAAATGATTGAATTAAAAAGTTTATAATAAAGCTTTTGTTTCAAAGTTAATATAATCCACTGATTTTACGATTTTTTTTTCTTTTTTTTAGGGTCATGTAAAATTATCTGATTTTGGCTTATGCACAGGATTAAAGAAAGCTCATAGGACTGAATTCTACAGAAACCTTACCCACAACCCACCAAGTGACTTCTGTGAGTTTGATGTTCTTCTTTGGTTAAAGTAGTATAGCTGTTTTGATTCAGCACTGTTGAGAACTAAAGGTTCTCTCCCTCTCCTTACTTCTTAAGTCAGTGCATTTTAAATGTATATGTGTGAATTTGTTTTGGGGTGAGAGTTTTTCTCATGATGACAGTTCTGTCTTATTGAAACTAGCATTTCAGAACATGAACTCAAAGAGGAAAGCAGAAACATGGAAGAAGAATAGGAGACAGCTGGTGAGTGAGCCATGCTTCTAAGAAACAATTTTGTGCTCTGTTTCTAAAATCCTTTGTTTTTTGCTTGATTATTTTGTATCTTTCACAATGATTAGTACTTTATAGTAGTGATAGAGCGTGTTCTGGGATCACACAATTTTCTTAGTTTCTCTATAGTGTTTCCTTGCCTGTAAAGTGAAATGCTGATTTTTACTTTATGATTTAACTTTAGAGTACTTTATCAAGCATATCTATAATTAAATAATCTGTCTGTTTACTAGTAATTAGCACTTTATATGAAACTCACTGTGGTAAGTGTAATTGTAGTGAATGCCTTGTGATTTCCATTTTTCCATTTTCCATATCTGTCGTGATACATACCAATCAGCACATGCAAGGTGGTTGTGTGTTTCTGAGAACTTGTTCATAGACAAAGTAAACAGGAAGCTGGGTGTGTTAACAGTCTTACAATGAAGAATTAGAAAGCAGACCTTACCACTGATAAATTACTCCTTTAATGTGTAATAAAATAACACTATTTTTAATCCTACACTATTTCTCCTCTATTACTTGGCAAATATGAGAATCTCTTGCCCCCTTTCCTCTTTTCCTTTATCCTGTTAACTAGGTCTTTGAACATTCTCAAGGTTAGGAATGTGCCTTTTGACTTTGTTTTCCTAATTTCTTGTACATGCCTAGCACATAGACACACTCTGTAAATATGTTAAATTCAACAAAGTGATGAAAGTGAAATTAACTCAGCATTCCCTCAAGAAGGTAAACAGACTGAAAGATAACAGTCTGATATCCTCTCAAAGCAGACAAAATGGCCTTTGCATTACTGAGCTCATTCTCCCATTGGCCCAAATAATTGCAAGCTTCCTGAGCTTGTAAAGCATTTCAGTGTTTTTAAAAGTTTAAAAAAATGTTTTTAAAAATGTATTGAGCTACACATTAATAAGGAAAACTTCCTTCTACTTTTAAACGTGTCACTTTTAGATCAGATTTTACAATTGAGGAAAGATTTGCAGTATTTCCTACTTTAAAAGGAAGAAATGAACACAGCTTAAAAATATGGTGGGAATTCTGTAACCCTCTATTTACAGAATATTTACAGAAGATTACTTATGTGCATGTTTTACTATTTTGCCCATCCTCAGAACTTGTATAGTGTTTCCCAAGAGAGAAGTAGAGGGGACTCTATTGTATTTCAGGCAGGAAATTCCTTCAGAACCTGTATCCCCTGCCCACTAAATGGCAACCATGTCCTCTCCACATCATTGAAATGACAAATCTGCTGCCACACATTTTCATATGGTCCCTAGAGTATTACCCTTAGTTGAGAAATATCGCCTAAAGTATAGTTTTTGTAAGACTTTATATGAATTAAGAATGAAAACTGTATTACTTCTTAATGGATAAGCAGTGGCCTGGAATTAGGTTTATAATGAAAATACCTGATGTTTTTCTATATATATTAAGTTGTAGTAGCTTACAAAAGCACATTCCTTTTCTTGTTTTATCCTCATATCAACTGTGCAGGCAGGTATTATTACTTCAGTTGTATGTAAGCAGAAGCCGAGGCTCAGAGAGGTTCAATAGCCTGCCTAAGAGCACAGTAGTAGTGAGTAGGAGAAACCAGGTCTCCTGGCTCAACCTTTTTATTCTTTTTGAAATGGACTTAAGGCTAAATATGTAAGTAACTTAACTGAGCTTATTGGGGGCAGAAATCATGTCTTAGATAACATATTATCTGACTCAGTACTCTCACTGACGCCTTATACATGATAAACATGCAAAACAAGTATTAAAAATGAAAAAGTAACTTCTGTACACCTTGCTTTTAACAGTAGTGTGCCATACTCCTATCTTTCAAAAAATATATTAAGAATGCTGGTCTGACAAGCTGTTCCTCTGCAGGCATATTCCACAGTTGGGACGCCAGATTACATTGCACCGGAGGTATTCATGCAGACTGGTTACAACAAATTATGTGACTGGTGGTCTTTGGGAGTGATTATGTATGAAATGCTAATAGGTATGTTTTATCTTTCATTTACATACATACTATATAAATTTCCTTGAGTGCTTCTGATTGAACATCTGCAGATACCATGGACTAACATATCAGAACTCTTTTAAACCAATTTCTGACACCCGTGCCCCCAGTGTTAAATACACAATGGTAACATACCAAAGAACTCCCTAAGGATCTGGTTTCAGGAAGCAGGTATTTAATTGAACTTCCATGTATCAAAATTGTATCTGCATGGCCTTTCAGGTAAAAGAGGGGAGGAGAATGCTTTAAATCCTTTATTTTGTTGATATCATTAGGAATTTTATTGTAAATTGATGACTGGTGGCATTTTTATTGTTAAATAGAGCACTCAGGGCTATTTTGTTTCTTGTGACACATGTAGTAGATATAGCATATTTGATCACAAAAGCTGATAAAACTTTTGTTTTCTCTGATGCATAGGATATCCGCCTTTCTGCTCTGAAACACCTCAAGAAACATATAGAAAAGTGATGAACTGGAAAGAAACTCTGGTATTTCCTCCAGAGGTGCCTATATCTGAGAAAGCCAAGGATTTAATTCTTAGGTTAGTGGTTAAACCTCTAGAGGAGGTTGTTGTATCTTAAACTTCAAGACTGAATTGGCCATTTCACTTTTGTAGGACGGAACAGACTACCACTGATACATATAATCAAGGAGATCAATAAAGAAAAGCTGTTTTTAAAAAAAATGCAAACTCTAAAAAGGAAGTATGCAGGAAAAACAATTAAGACTTAAGAAGAGGGAAGAGGTGCCTATATGGTTTCAAAGGTCACTCCTGTTTGAATGCAATGACCCTACCCCATTAAAGAGGAAAGGAAAAATAAATTGTTAGTAGCAGTTCTTATCACAAAAGTCTTTAGATGAAATCTTATCTAAGCATAGGATTCCATTCTGTTTCCCAATTAAGATGAAGTGTTTGATTCTGTTGTGACTGGCTGGAAGGAATATAAATTGGGGCAACCTATGGGAACAGTCTTTGGCAGCATATTATGAAAAATCTTTAAGCTGTATATGACCTTTGACCCAGCAATTCTACTTCTAGGAATTTTGTTTATGCAGATAATCAGATGTATGTAAAGATCTAGGTATAATATATTGATTGTGATACTGTTTTTAGTAATGAAAAATTGAAAACCATCTAAATGTCCGACAGTAGTGGATTGGCTAGATAAATTATAATATTTCCATATACAGATTTTAAGAAATTAAGTTATAGAACAATTTTTAATGACTTTGGAAAATTTCCTCAATATTTTATATGGAGAAAAGTCAAAATAGTAACTACTGTATCAACGTAATGTTTTTTAAATTACAAAATAAAAGACTAGACAGAAATGGCTTCAACCTGTTTTCAGTAGCTATCTCTGAATGATGCAATTACAGATGATTTATATTTTCTCCCACATTTCCCACAATAAACAGTTAACTTTAGTAAACCAAAAACGTGAAATATTTGAAATAATGCAAATAGAATACTTTAGATGTAATTTGCATATGATAATTTCTCTTTGTTCATTTTCTAGATTTTGTATTGATTCTGAAAATAGAATTGGAAATAGTGGAGTAGAAGAAATAAAAGGTCATCCTTTTTTTGAAGGTGTAGACTGGGGGCACATCAGGTATGTTTGTAGGCTTTCAATAGGAAGGGAAAGGTCTGAGTAAAAAAATGATTTAGTGATTGATTTGCCTCTGATTCTGCTAGATTAAAAACAAGAAGTAACGCTGTTTAATGTTATTAAATCAGTGTTTTCTGGATTATATAGGTGAGTGAGACTGTAATGGCTACAGCTAAATGGCTGGTTTTAACTGATGTGCGCTGTAGGGGAAAATCACATATTGTACACCTGCTTAGATTGTATCCAGAGTTACATGATGAAGGCTATTAGCACAACCAGGATGTATGTACATTTCACACTATAACCTTTCATTTTTGTCCTCTTGTTAATGTACCATATTTTGCCTCCTTTATTAATTTATAAGATATAGTCCCACTTTAAAACATTGTGGGAGAAGTTAAATAATGCAAGTAACTTATAAGAATTTGCTTATAGTTGTTAATTGTGAACATTGGCTTTTATGGCCAAACTACCTTCAATAGTTCTGGTCTGTTCTCCACTACCAACAGTATAGAAACAAATCTGATCATGCCACTTTCTTCCTTCCCTTTGCACTTAGAGTAAAATTAAGGATCCTTAACTGCATTTCAGGACTGTGGGATATGGCTCTTACCTAATTGCTACAGGTTGCATTTTGTATGATCTTTCCCACTCCTCCTACCTCACAGCTGTTCATTCTGACTGAAATGCTCTCCTCCTCCCTGCCCTTGTCCCAGCCCCTGCCCCTGCTGCTGCCAAGCCAGCTCCTTTTCATCTTTTGAGATAGCTTAGGTGTCATTTCCTCCATGTAGATCTACTATGGGTTTGACACTCTGTTATAATAATAGCTAATTTTTTGATCATTTATTGTATGTCCAGCATATGTAAATTTCTTATCCTCAATTAACCTTATAAAATAGGTACTTTTATTTTCCCTGTTTTTCAAATGAGGAAACTAAGGCGTAAAGAAGTGACTTGCTTACAGTGCACCATAGCTAGTAAATGATCTAGGTAGAATTACTAACTATAATTGGACCCAGGCAATTTGATTCAGGAATCCTGACTCTTAACTGCTATGGTGTATTATACTATACATACATCATCTCACTGAATAGAACTATGATTCCCCCCCTCATTACAGTTAGAAGGTGCTTAGAGACTACCAGTCCATTCTCTTGGTTTTATAATGAGGAAACAGTTGCAGAGCAGAGACTTGCCTGCCTATGGTCATATTGCTAGTCCATGAAAAGAGATTAGATCTGAAGGCACTAGGGTCTATGATTCTTTCCACTAAACTAATATAAATTTATTATGTATAAATAACTTAGAATAATTCTGGGGAAAAAATATATATGCTTTTACATAATTTTGTAAATTTATCACCAAATAGATCCAATAAATATTTGTTGAAAATCTAGAAGCAATAAAAATTGATAGCTTTTTTAAAAACTATTTCTATACTTGGAAAACTTTTAGCATGGTAAAAAGGCATTTTCATGACTGATTTGTTTTGTTTTGTTTTTGTTAATCCTCACCGGAAGATATTTTTTCCATTGCTTTTCAGAGAGAGTGGAAGGGGGTGGGGAGAGAGAGAGAAACATCTATTTAAGAGAGACACATCGACTGGTTGCAAGCGAACAGCAACCCAGGTATACGTCCTTGACTAGGAATTGAACTCTGGACCCTTCGGTGTGCAGTCTGTTGCTCTAACCATTGAGCAACAGCGTCTAGGGCATGACTGATAATTTTAACCTAATGTTCCTGATTCTCTTAAAATGTACATGAGAGAGAGAGAGAGAGAGATCAGTGTGAGAGAGAAACATTGATCAGTTGTTTTCTATATACACTCTGACCAGGCACTGAACCCAAAATCTTTTTGGTGCATGGGGTCATGCTCCAACCAACTGAGTCACTTGATCAGTTGTTTTCTATATACACTCTGACCAGGCACTGAACCCAAAATCTTTTTGGTGCATGGGGTCATGCTCCAACCAACTGAGTCACCTCGCCAGGGCTTCCCAAATGACTTTTGATTTATGGATCTTCTAGAAGAATTCTATTCCTAAATTAATTAGGTAAGATCCAGTCCCCACAATATTGAGTGTACTTTATATAATTATCAAATCTTTTAAATAAAATCTCTTCTGTTCTACTTTCCCTTTCATTAATTCTAGTTTTTCCATTAAAAAAACCCAGTATGAGGAAGTCTTGTTACAAAAAAATAAAAATTCCAAATAAATGATAATATCTTGATAAAAAAATTATACCCAACTATGAAATCCACTTAACTTTTCAAATCCACAATAACTTTCCATGGCCCTTCTAATATCTATAGAACAGCATGAAGAATTTTTAAGTAGAATTATGTTTTGGAAAATTAAGAGTTCAAGAAAACTTACCATAGTTACTCAATACCTTTTTATAGGGAAAGGCCAGCAGCAATCCCCATAGAAATCAAAAGCATTGATGATACTTCAAATTTTGATGACTTTCCTGAATCTGATATTTTACAACCAGGTAAGACAATCTACAACACAACTAACACTATTAAAAATCTATGAAATTATGACATTTTCACTAATGAAATTCTTTTGCTCTGGTTAATCTTTCTATCTTTCTAGTGCCAAACACCGCAGAACCGGACTACAAATCCAAAGACTGGGTTTTCCTCAATTATACATATAAAAGGTTTGAAGGGTTGACTCAGCGTGGCTCTATCCCCACCTACATGAAAGCTGGGAAATTATGAATGAAGTCACATTCGCCCACAACCAAGAGAACTCAGGTAGCTGCATCACCAGGCTTGCTCGGCATAGGTAACAATACACTGAAATTCTCCTGAAGACGGTGGTGCTTATGACTACAAGAGGAAATTCTACAGGATTAGGATTTCTAAGACTACTATAGGAATTGGTTGGCAGTGCCAGCTGGCGTTTTTTGTGTTGGTTTTTTTTTTACTATTTTATTATTTTTGTTAACTTTATTATACGAAGGTACTGGAATAAAAGAAGCGTACATCCCTTTCTAACTGCACTGCCTACATGTGTATTAAGGTCCATTTTGCCTGTGTGTGCTGTGGCTTTGTACTGTAACACCTTTAATCAATGCAGGAGAAACACATATCATTTAAAGCAACATAGGCTAACCAGTAGGTAACACTGCAGTACTGCTGTTTTACTGCAGATCTTATGGGTCTAGATAATCAACAAAAGCCATCTTGCATAGTTGGTGTTAGAACACTTGCTGTATTGGTTGGGACATCTATAGAATACATATGAAGACAATTTCTATAATGCTTTTAAGAAATTTTAAAAAGAAAATACACTGGTTATTTAAAAAATAGAATTTATCATCATGTTATGACACAAACTCCATAGTAGGGAGTGACAAGTTTTTAACAAGGAGGAAGTTTAACACCTTCACTCAAGCGCTCCACTAATATATTTACTTTGCATTCAGAAATACTGATGACCTTTATATACGTAGTCTGTGTACTCACAGGGGAGATGTACTATACTATATATTATATAAAATGTAAAGTTACTTTTATTGTGACAAGAGGACTTCTTTTTTAACAAGAGGACATGACATTATTTTAATTTGATTATGGTGAGTTGAATATAAGAAATGACCAAGAAGGCTGCTTGTAGAACTAGTGTATTTTTATTAAACTATTTTTTTAAATGTCAAACTTCTGATCATGTAAATGGACTTGTAGAGTACAAAGAGTTATTTACTTTGGTTTTCTAGAAAGTTGTTACATATCATGGCTGGTTAACTTTTATTTTTTTTTAATGAAAATTTTTCCTTTGACAGTACTCGTATTATTGTGCCATTATTTTCTTATACTCCAAATGTACCAAAGATCCTGAACAGAGTGGATGTTCACGGCCAAGTAGAATTTCACTTTCCTGTGAATGCTATACTCAGACATGACAGGTCTTTGATAGAAATCAGCTTATTGAAGGGCAATATTGTTCATGTTTAGCTACATCACTGTGGATACTGTAAATGGAATTGAGATAAATGCAGGCCAGAGGGGTTGTGATTAGAGGATAAGGGAGATGGTGTCAGCACCAAATTCTTTGGGTATTTCCCTAAGAAGTAATCTTTCTAGTTCAACATTTTAATTCTAAAATGACTCTGCAGTTTTGGTTTCTTAAGTACTAGTTAAGGAATAAAATTTAAAAATGGCTTAATGCTCTTAACTGCTGATAGAATTTTTAAAAGATATAACAATTATAACCATTACAAATGACCTGTGATCAAAATCTAAAGTGACGATTTATTTTGAGATATTCTTAATTGGGAAGAATTGTATAAGATTATTATGCAAATCTACAAAAGTTTTAAAATATATATTTTTATTGATTTCAGAGAGGGGAGGGAGAGGGAGAGAGAAACATCAATGGTGAGAGTCATTGATCAGCTGCCTCCTGCACGCCCTGGACTGGGGATGGAGCCCGCAGCCCGGGCATGTGCCCGACTGGAATCAAACTGTGACCTCCTGGTTCGTGGGTTGACGCTCAGCCACTGAGCCACTCCTGCTGGGCTACAAAAGTTTTTGTAAATGTTGCTGCTCAGTAGTTCCTCAGTGTTTCAATAAGGCTGTCCTGATCCCCCCAAATCCTCTTCTTTTCCTCCTCCGCTCCTCCCTCCCTGCCCCCCTTTCATTCTTTAATTCTAGTATTTGTTCGATACCTGCTGTCGGTTCCTCTAGTAGTTCATGTCTGTTTTTTTGTTCGAATCGTGGCTGAGTAGGAAGGAGAACTATTAAAATTCTGGGGTTATCTCAGTTTTATTAACTCAGTTTTTATTATAACCACCTCTAATTTGAAACAAATCTTTAACTGCTCAACTTTAGGAGATTTTTCTCACCCACCTCGCCCCTCTTGTTAAAGTACTGTTCTGCTGGTGTGGTAGAGAATGGGTCATGCATGAGGAAACTGCAGCATTCTCTAGTTCAATATGGTAACTATAGTAATTCAAGTTGACAGACAGAGAGATAAAGGAGCTGAATTACCCAAGTTTACTTTTTAATTGAATAAGAGCAGAGCGTTTTCATTTCCTTCCCTCTCATTCTTGTTAACCGGCAGAATTGGAAACAGTTATGACTTCCTGGCATTGAGCAGGCAGTTCTTTGGTTAGCGTCTCACTCTTCCCTGGAGTCAACAGAGTGATTCACAATCTGTGGGGTTTCCTCCTGTCAAAAGCATTTAAGTGCCTATCTAAAAGCAATTGAAGACTGTGTCTGTCCTTTGGAAGCTAAGAATTTGATTCATGATGCAAGTTAGCTAGATAATTTGTGAAGTACCCTTGAGACTGAATTTTCTCTATTGTACATTTCCCATGTTCCAGGTGAACCATTTAATTTAAATGACAAAACCCTATCTACTTAACTGGGCATAATGACATTTTCTTTAAATTAGACTCTATTTTGAATTAAAGAGTTTTATTATAAACTGTGTGTTTTTGGTTTTTCTAAGTATATAGAAAGCTTGTATAATTCAGATTTCTTGATTTCCCGATTTAATGTAGACTTTGACTTTTTTATTAAAAAAAAACCTTTGTATTAAAGCAAGTTATGTTATTTTTCTTTTAGGCTTTTCTTATTAACATAGCTTTAAGTCTTTGAATTTATTAAAGCATATTAGAAATTTCTTATAAATCAACCTTTTCTGAATTAAATATATAGCTGATTTAATAAGCTATTAGTTGAATGGAAAATAACAAATGTGGAATATTCAAAACTTTTTTGGTTGCTAAGGCTTAAGATTCCATTTCATTTTTATCTATAAAAGCATTCTTTTTTTGTTTTTTTAAATACCTGTATATCTCTGTGTAAATCTGTAAATTTTAAAATATTTTAAGTACATTTATTTTTGGTGTTTCATTGTAGAAAACCCTTAGACAACCAGTCGATAAATATCTATTGGTAGGAGAAACAACTGTCCATCTTTTGATGATCTACAGATGAATGAATTGAAATTTTAATCAGTAGAGAGGTCCCTGGCTACTAAACACATTCTCTCTTTGAATTGCTAAGATTCAGAACATTCAAAATAACTATTTGCTACAATTGTGATTATTTCCTCGTCTTTAAATTTTATTTTCTCTTTAGAAGTGCACTTATTTCTGAGAACTTTTAATGAAACAAATACTTAGAACAAATGTAAATATAAGACACTTGGGACTACTAGAGATATTTTAGATTTTTAATGAAAAAATGTGAGGGGATATTGTTACATGAAAAGGAAATGAAGTAATAAAAATAGACCAATAGTTATTTTTTAAAAAGCAATATAAATTATTCAGCAGTTGTCTAGAAAAATAATCATCAGGCTCTTGAGTTCTGTGCCCAGTTACTGAGTTTCAAAAAATGTTTTGGTGGCATGAGGCCTTTTTTATTGAAGGTAAGAAAAGAATAAAAACTATGTTTATAATATTTCTGTTGGTGAGGGTTTTTTTTTTGTTTTTCACTTTTGAGTTTTGAGATAGGTGTTATCCAAAACTCAAGAAAGACTATTATTTTGTAAATGTCTTCAACTTTTACACTTAAAGATCACATCAAGAACAAAATGAATACTTGAGGTTTCAGTTGTGTTTTGGTTAAACAATCAAGGTAGTTGTACAGGTTTATATACAACTACCCCACTTGGCCAAAACCAATTAGCAAGCAGAATTAAAATTGAAAATGCCTCAAAATAGCATGGAAACCAATAATATAAGTGGCCCGAGTACCCAGGTACCACTACATTCTGTCCCATGAAATACACCAATAATCATGATACTTTCTGCCAAGCTCAGAATGGCCAGCAAGAATCCTGTTCGTCCTACTTGTGCACCCAGCTGTTCCCTGGCTAAAACATCACTTCAACAAATGGCATGGTGAAGACAAAACACTGGATGGCAAAATTTGGATGTTGAACAAACTTCGAGACTCTAAATTCATCATCTTTTGGAAGCATCTTGTGATAAAAAGAACTTTCATTTGTATACAAAATGCTTTCACTTACATCATTCATTTTAGTTTTTACTATGTGAAATAAACATAATTGCCATCACTTTACAGAAGATGAACATGAGGCTGAGCATGACTTACCCAAACATGTAATAAATTGCTCTTGAACTCAAGTCCAGGACCCCATCTACTCCCCCAAATCATAGAGCATGCTTCATTGACAAATTACTTCAGATGCTTCTAGACCTCAGAAATGCATGGCGAGCTAGTGACAGTTGTCACTGGGTACTTTTGAAGGCAAATGTCAGACACAAGTAAAAAATATGTTCAATGATAAGGAAAATGAATGTCTAGTGTAACACTGAGACACAAGATAGGAAGCTTCCAGGGGAGTCAATGTATCTCAAAAACATTAAGGATGAAGGTTCTTTCCATTTTTCTATGGTTCTTTCATTTTCCTAGTCATCCCTGGTCTTGTTTTCTCAGAGGCTAGATGGCTACAGGGACTAACCATCAAATCCTCATGCAACGTGTGGGTCCTTACAGAGAACTATTATGCACCCTTTTTTAAAGAACAAATAAAATCTTTTTCAGAAGCATTCTAAAGCAAATAACCCCCAGATTTTATTGGCGCTGACTATGTCATCCATCCACTCCTACAGCAGTAACTAGCCTGGATATTGACTTAAAACTAATTCACATTAGTTTTAAGGATTCATATTCCCAGTACTTGAGTGAGGCTGACCCAAAGCACATGGCCACCTGATACCAGAATAAAATTGGAGTTCTTTTAACAACCTCCAAGATAATCCACAAAGGTTTACAGTGATGGCTCTTAGAGCCACTGCACCTGGGTTTTGTTGCTGGCTCTGCTGCTGTATGAACTGAAGGGCTGGCCCACTGAGGTCTTTCCTGACCCATCTGAGACAGGAGTACCCCTGCCACTGTGCTAGCCCATGGCTCAGCTACTGGGATCCTGGGTTTTTCGTCCTTCGGGGAACCAGGAGTAGGAGTGGGTCTGCAGACATCGTAAGGATGGAAATGGGTATTTGGCCATCCCTCCCAGCTCCTGTTCGTCTTTTCATTGGCCCATCTCCCCCCAAAGCTGTTATATTGCTAAAAGGGACCCTCAATCAACTTCCCCCCAAGATCCAGACAGGGGTGAGGTGGCCTAATTATTGACTCACCTGCTTTGTCTAACTGGACAAGATGGGCTCTAATAGAAATCAAAATATTTCTCAGGTGAGTTTGTGCTAAACTACTGTAAAGTTATTACTGAATTCCTTTACTGTTCATCTTAAAGCATTCTATGTCAGACTCTGAACAGGATGCCTTTTAAGTCTCTTCCAAAGCAAGAAGCCCACAAAAGGGAAACTGTCTTGACTGCCTTGTCCTCGGGTAAGAGAATCGTGAACAGAACTTGAACTCCGACAGTCTTCCACACAGTTCAGGGAGGACTGAGGAGGACCTGGGGCGCCACACTTGCTGTAAGAGTGTCCCAAGCTTGCAAAAGTAAACATTAGTCCAGCTTCTGACACATAAACACACACACAAACAATCTCTAAGGGAAAAATAACTTAAAGCATTACCTCCATGTTTAAAGAGATGTCAACGCAACCATTCCCTGAGCCTTGTCCTAAGTTTTGTTCCTCCCTGTGTTGTTGCTTTTTAAAAAATATATCTTTATCATTATTGATTTCAGAGGGAGGAAGAGAGATAGAAACATCAATGATGAGAGTCATTGACTGGCTGCCTCCTGCAGGCCCCCAACTGGGGGTCCAGCCCGCAACCCGGGCATGTGCCCTGACCGGGAATCGAACCGCAATCTCCTGGATTCTAGGCCAATGCTCAACAGCT